TAGGGGGTCGCGCAGAAAATGTTTGGAAACCACTGGGGGGGCGCAGAAGAAAAAGTTTGGGAACCACTGCGTTAGCCTCCGAAGCTTCAGCAGATTTCTGTCTCTGAAAAAGCTGCGCTGTTTCTCTGCACAGGACAGCAGCGAAATCCACTTCAAGGTCAAAATGACGACACATCTAAAGAAGCTGAAAGAGTCCTACAGCCAGAGACAGGTATGACCTCTGACCCCTCCTGATCTGTGACCCCTCTTGACCTCTGACCCCTGGTGTTTTCCCGTATGCAGGGCGTCCCAGCGAGCACGTTACGGTTTCTGTTCGAGGGCCAGAGAATCGCAGACAACCAGACTCCCAAAGAGGTAACCAATAACATGGAAAACCCTGGAATAACCTGTAATGACCTGGTCCAGGTTAGTTCAGGTCAGTCTATCCAGGTCCAGGTCTCCCTGTGCTCTGCATATGGTTTGGGTCATTCCAGGTTTTTCCAGGACCTTCCAGGTTTTTCCAGGTCCAACATTAACACAGTCTCTGTCTATGTCCGCTGCAGCTGGGGATGGAAGACGAAGACGTCATCGAGGTTTATCAAGAACAGACCGGTGGACTTTGGACCGATTAAATTTCCAGTTTTCTCCTTTTTGCTGATTTTCTATTTTATTTTGTATGGATGTAATTTTGGTTCCGTTTCAAACCATCTGGATCCGATCGGGCTTCCAGCGCTGGACGTTAGATTTTACTGCTGGTGGTTTCAGGTTCTGGTTTTATCCATGTTTGTTGTTAAATGATGAAAATGTTTTTCTGGCTCTGAAGCAGTCGAACGTTTCTGCTTCTGAAAGGTTTAAAGTCTCCAAACGTCCTTGAAATATTCAAACTGAATAGAATCAGATGAAAACCAAATGCAGATTTTATCATTTTTTTCTGATTTGGATTTTATTGAAGTAAAAATCAGCTGATCAGTTTTCAGGGAAGAAACGGATTTACTCTGACAGAAGCTGAAATGGCTGCAGTTTGCTCGGTGGCCACCAGGGGGAGCTGGTGGTTTTCAGGTGATCAGCAGCAACTTGACCCTTCCCTGGCACAGAGATCTCACTTTGACCGGTTTCTGCGGGTCAAGCTTTCATTGAAATGACTGATTTAAACTCGGATCATGTTTTCACCTTAGCGTTAGCGCACCGGAATGCTACGTCTCCTCAGTTCCAGCTTCTGGAATCAGATTTTCTATTTAAGCTCGTCGTTTTAAACTCTGATGATGGAAATGCTTCCTCTGAGTGAGGATGAAGAGGCTGGCTGTATAAACTGGGAGATGCTTTCTCCACTGCCACTCGCTTCTCCCAGGTGGGGTTAGAAATGGCTCCGCCTCCTTCCAGGCTCATCATCATCATCATCATCAGGGGAACCGTGATGCAGATGGTTTGAAATTTTGGAAATGAGCTGTTTCTCTTTTTTTCAATAAAATATTTAAGAAAAGTCGACTTTACAGTTTTTTTAAACCAGTGTGTTTATTTAGGGGTAAACACAAATGCACACCACACTTTTCAGATTTTTGTCTTAAGAGATTAGGTCATTTGGACCCGACCAGATTTTCACTCTGTGTGAAACCACTCTGTTTGGGGAACTGACGGTCTGATGGGATCCTGCAGCTTAACAGGATAAAGATCACAGGCGCCAGGCCTCTGCTGGCAGATAACCTCAGATTATATTCCCAAGAGGAAACATGTTGAAGCTCCTTCAGTTTGGGATTAGCGTGCAGGAACTTCAGCTTCCCTCCAAAATAAGAGACCTGGGAATGTTGCATGATGTAACCTTTAAAACTGATTTCTCTGTTCATCTTAAATAAAAACGATGATTACACAAAAACTACAATAAGTTACTAGAAAATATGATTTAAATATTAAAATCACCTGGAGATAAATCAGGATTTGGCTTTCAGCAGCAAAACAATCAGCAGCAACACGACGAAGACGTAGAACCGGGCCTACTGGGCCTAGAGGGAAAGGACCGGGACCAGAACCAGGAGCAGGACCTGGTCTCTTCATGTCATACTTCCAGCTTCTGGAGAAATTAAGTCAATCAGTTCCAAAGCAGCATTTCTGTTTTTGTCCAAATTGTTGAAGCTGTACAAAGAAAACATTTGGAGAGTCGGAACTGAGAAACGGAGAAACAGATTTCGTCACGATGAGGTTTTCCCACATTGGGCCTCATGGTCAGGTTTCATGGTTTCAAAGTGCTAGTGGCAGCCGCTCCTCCGGCGGCGGCCTCTGCTCTGGTGGTGGCCTCTGCTCTGGTGGCGGCCTCTGCTCCGGCGGCGGCCTCTGCTCCGGCGGCGGCCTCTGCTCCGGCGGCGGCCTCTGCTCCGGCGGCGGCCTCTGCTCCGGCGGCAGGCTCTCTGTCAGGCACTTGAGCTGCTCCTCGCCCAGCTTGATTTTGTCGTCCAGCTTCCGCTGCTCGATGATGAGCGCAGACTTCATCTTGACGAAGTGGCGGTAGTCGTCCAGGTTCTCGGTGTCCAGGTGAGCCTCCATGATGGCGAACACCAGCCGCTCTCTGCGGTCCAAGTTCTCCTTCAGCTCCTTGGCGTCGTCATGCTGCCTCATCAGCAACTTCCGCTTCTCGGTCAGCGTTCGCTGGAGGAGGAAGGAGACGAGTTAACAATAAGACATTCTGGTAAAGCTTGTTGTAGCTAAAGATAGTGTCAGCTAAAGCTAGCTGCAGCTAAAGTCAGTTGTAGCCAAGGCTTGTAGCAGCTAATGCTAGTTGCAGCTAAAGCTAGTGGCATCTAAAGGTAGTTGTAGCTAAAGTTAGTTGTAGTTGAAGCTAATTGCAACTAAAGCTAGTGGCAGCTAAAGCTAGTGGCAGCTAAGGCTAGTGGCAGCTAAGGCTAGTGGCAGCTAAGGCTAATTGTAGTTAACGCTAGTGGCACCTAAGGCTATTTGCCGCTCAGGCTAATTGCAGCTAAAGCTAGTTGTAGCTAAAGCTAGTGGCAGCTAAGGCTAATTGCACCTCAGGCTAATTGCAGCTAAAGCTAGTGGCAGCTAAGGCTAATTGCAGCTAAACTATTGGCAGCTAAGGCTAATTGCAGCTAAAGCTAGTTGCAGCTAAGGCTAATCAACGCTCGTGACCTCAGCTGTCCCACCTTCTCCTCTGTGGGCGCTCCGTCCTCCAGGCTGTTGAGGGCGTTCTCCACCCGAGCGAGGCGTCCCGACAGCGACAGCAGCAGGCTCACCACCTTGTCCAGGTCGCCCACAAACATGCGGAACCTGTCGATCTGGTTGGGCTGGCAGAGGCGCCGGACGGTGGCGTCCACCTGCCGGCCCAGCGCCTCGTTGTCCTCCACATCTTCCGCCAGGCTCTGCCGCGCCTCCCGCAGCACTGCCAGTTTCCTGGCCAGGCTGGACATCAGCTCTTGCTAAAACCCAATAAATACGGTAAAACAACTTTTCTCGTCCGCTCTGCGGCGTCAGAGAACAGACTTTACCTTTTTACTGGCCAGATCACCGTCCAGCTCGTCCTCGGAGTCCTGCTCGTCCAGCTGCTCCTGCATGTCCTTCATCTTGATGAGCAGCTCAGCTTTGGGAGCCGATGTGTTGTAGTAGGAGGAGCTGGGGACCAGAGAGGCGGAGATAGAAACGTCCTCCTCTTCTCTCCTGAGGAACCACAGGTTGTCATCGTCTAAACTTTACCAGAAATCAAGACGTTCCTTCCCTCCTCTAAGTTCTCACTAAATGACCAAATATCACTGAATTAAGCTCAAAATTACACAAACAGTTTAAAAAAAACACATTTAATTTAGATTTACTACTGCACAGTCATTTCTCAACAGTTCCTGAAATGTAGTTGGTTATTCCAGCTGTTCTCCACCAGAGGGCGGACTAACGCCAAGCTGATGTTAGTTTATGCTGATGTTTTGGGACTAATGGAGAGTGTTAAAGCAGGAGTCCAGTCCTCAACCATCCTGCTACTTCTAGCTGCTCTCTGCTCCAGGAGCGTTCATCCGGCTCTGCACTCGGCTGGTAACGAGCGTTTTACCTGATCCAGGTGTGTCGGAGCAGAGATGTTGGGGACTGGACTTGGCCCTTGGCTTTAAAACAATCACCTCTTGTTTTTCTGAGTTTTAGGAACTCATGTGACTCTAAACGGTTAAAGTGTGATATTTTAGGAATAGCTGGTGGTTTGGACCTGCTGGTGCCGGGCGGCCTGGATCCAGTGGACGGCCTCCTGCGCAGCTGCACCGCCTCCAGGACCGGGTCTGGGGCAAACAGACCCTCCATCAGGTCCATGGTGGTCCTCCTGCTGCTCTGGTCCAGGATGTCCAACAGAGACTTGTTCCTCCCCATGATGTCCCTCGCCAGCTCGTCTCTCTTGGCGTCCTCCTCCAGGGTCCGGGCTCCATCGGGTTCCTGGGCGGGTTCTGGTTCTGGCTCCTGCCGGTTGCAGGTGCTGAACGGAGATGCCGGCTCTGCAGGCAGAGAAGACGGGCTGCTGGACTCGGCGCTATGCGGCAGCTGACCCCGCCGGTCCGCGCCGCCTTCGCTGTGGACGATCTGGACTGGAACCGTTCTCACAGGGCCGCTCGCCTCCATCACTGCTGGGTTCTGCGGTTCTGATTCTGACCTGCCAATAGCAGAAAGCGACAAACCTGAGAGAGAGGCCTGCGGTCTACCTCAATCATCTGGTACCAATAATGTTTTCTTTATTCATTTATCAGGATTTTAGTTCATTTATCACAAAGTCAGTTTTACAGTCCAAAGATATTTATTCTACAGATAAAAACCAAAATTCAGCTGAGAAATAAATGGATTATTGTCAGGAACAGAAATGTGTTTAAACTAGAACCTTATCTGACTGCAGTTATCCCCACTGATAACGTTTTCCTTCCTCTCAACTTTCCTTTACCATGTTGAGATCAATCTGTGAATAAGCTTTTCATGCGATTGTTCAGGGCCAAATACAACATTTCTGTATCAGCAATAAATTATTGCACGAGTTTCACTTTTTAATTCCAATTAAATGAACATAAATGAATTTCTTGATGAGGTTATGGAACAGCTGTGTCTGAAAGTGTGACCAAGTTAAAGGCTTAATGTATTCATGACTTTAATGGCGAATAACGAATGATTTAAAATGTAATGTATTCATGATTTAAACGGTAAATAACTTATAAATTAAAGTTTAATGTTTGTTATTCATGAGTTAAACACCGTCACTTTAAACGACTGAAGCTGCTCTGGGACAGGATCGATGTACCTGAGCTGCGGCTCCTCCTGCGGTTCGACAGGAGCCGACCGAGGTGAAGGAGACTGGGTCCAGTGCGGCGGCAGAGGACCAGTCCGGTCTGGCTGGCCGCAGATGGGGAGTTCCCTGGAGGAGGATGTAGGTTCTGGTCCTAAATGACTGGGCGGCGGCCCGGGCTCAGAGTTTGGACCGATGGTATCGGAGGAGAGGGAGGAGCCGGCCATGTTGGGTTTAGTTCTGTGGTCGGCAGCGCCTGGGAAAACCCCCGCGGTTCTGGGTACAGGGCTGCGGTCCGGCGACCCTGCCGTCTCTCTGCAGGTCAAAATTAAAACCTCATCAGAACCTGGAGGGAAAACGGTCGCATCGTCCTTCCAACAGAAACAGAGGAAATTTAACAAAATGTCTGCAGAGAAAAAACAGAAAAATGGACCCCAACTCGTATCTGAGACTTTTGTCTTGCGGTCCTGATCCAGAGGCGAACTAGTAAACTGAACACTTCACTTTATGGTTAATCTCTTTCTTCACCTTCACAGATTGAACCAACCCATCTTCCATTCCATCCCTCCATCATAAACAGATGAAGATCCTAAACTCCTTCACTTCAGGCTGAGATCCACTCGCAGCCTAGAGGAGGAAATCCTCCTTTTCTGGCCTCAAACCTAGAGGTACGTCTTCAAGATATTAATATCGTGAAAAAGTTTTTGTAACTTGTTGAGAATACAGTTTTGATTATTCTTAGCATTAATACAGTTAATCGTAGGTCATGTGAAAACAGTGGATTGAGCAGGATTAGCTTGAACAGCATCTTAGACGGCTTTAACTGAGGCCTGTTTTGTGTCGTCAGGGAGGAACGAGGCCATAAATCAACTCTGACACAGAGGCAGCGTCTGAAGCGAGCAGGCAGCAGAGGAGACATGTCCAGTTATCTCCACAGGGAGAGAAAACGCTAAAAACTTAAGGAAAAACAAACTAACAACACATAATTATGATCTAATTTGTAGGACATTTTTCTTAGCTATTAACAGCATGATTTGATTAGTTGTAGTTTAATTTGTAGTGTTATATTAACACCACTAGTAGTGTCAAACCCAGGCTAAACTGTAACATCAAACATACAATCAGAACTAGAGTAACATTAATTAGGAAAATGTCTAGAATGAATGTGTTTCGTATTGAAAATGTTCAGCTATACTTTATACGTGTCTTAATTCTTAAATCGCCGCTTTGATCCAAGAGGCTGGAGAAGTTCTGAACCGCTTTGCGGTTCCAGGATTTATGTCAATGTACAAATCACTGCAGAGATCTGTGTGTTTGGATGACTTGCTCAAACTCAAGGTAACTTTTCATTGAACCCTGCAAAACTAGAGGCTTTGTTCCAACTAGGAATTAGGAGTGAGTCCACATTTCAAAGTGGCGTGAGAAAAGCTTGCTGTGAAATGACCTTTGGTCTCCCTTGTCCAGAGAGAAGCGCTGTAGTTCTGAAATTAAACGGGTCTCAGAAGGTCATAAAACGTCCCAACTTAGTCATTTGAAACTGGTTGCAGCTGCACAAGGAGAGAACACGCCTTAATCGCATAAATTAAAAACAAGGAAACACCTTGTAGATAAAACTCTACACCCCAGAGGAACGAATCAGATTTGCTATTGCAGCCGCATGGCAATCTCCAAAAAACCCCACGTTTTTAGCCTTTTTCCTGTCTATTTTCTACTGTTCAACTTTCTCTCAGGTAATGCTGCTTAGTGTGTTTGAAGTGTCTGAGGTTGTGATGTGCTGCGGATGTTTTGGTTAGTTTGATTAAACTCTGAAACTCTGACGTGGAGCGCTGATTGTCATCTGTGTGGCTTTTGTTTTCACGCTCAGCATCACTGAATCCGGGATGACGAGAGAATAAAACGAGCCAGAAGTTTTAATAATTTAGTCTCTTAAACTCCTTTCAGAACGTAAAACTAATCACACATATGGGAAGTCTTTCAAGACTTTGTTGTTTGTAATTTTGATGAGTTTAGCTTTTAAAGAATGAAAACCCAAATTTAATGTCTCAGAAGAATAGAATATTGCATCCGATCCACTGAAAGGATATTCTAGAGATCAGGCGGCTCTCAGTAATTGGTTGGGGCTCCGTTAGCATGAATTACTGCATCAGTGTTAGAGGAGATCAGCCTGGTGGAGTTCAGGGAACACCTTTCTACCGAAACCATCCGTTACTTCTTGTCCTCATTGGGGTTTTGATGAGCAGAGAAAATTGGTGCACAAACCTGAAAAATTGTCTTAAACGTTTTGAAAGCAATTACTTGCAGATTCTGAGCACCAGACAGTAAACCTCACCTGGCGGCCAAATTGCTCCCCTGTGTTTGAGGATCTCTCCAATGAGAGGAAATCTTCTGAAAGAGAAAAGTCATGTTTAGCATTTCAAAGCAGAATGGACCAGATAAAATATCTGAATCAATTCACATCAACCTTCCTCATGACTTTTCACGAACACAGCAGTAGTTTGGTTTCTACATTTGGATACGTCTCTAAAGCTGTGCAGGTCTTCAACATTTGTCTCCTGTCCTGATGAAGGCTGGCATGTTTCTGAAACATCAAACCAAACATAATCTTGCTCACCTGTGTGTAGAAGTCTGCAGAAGGTGAGGATCTGGATCTCTCATGAATGCAAACAGCTTTCTCTTCTGCAGCAGCATCTAGAATGTTGTCCGCTGAGTGGCATCGCCCTTGTGTTTTGGTATCAGGAGGCTTTTTCTGCTTGTTCCAGGTGGCCTGGTACTCAGCGAAGGTACCCAGTCTCTGCTGTTCCAGTAAAACCTGCTTTTCTCCAGGACTCTGCTCGTCTGTGTGTGGCTGAGACTGATCGCTGTCTCCAGAAGGAAAGGTCTCTCCTGACTTGCTTGTGTCATCTTGGCTTGGGTTAAGGTTTGAACCATGACCTGACTCCAGCACAGGCCTGGGGAATGAAGGTTTGGTCTCAAAAAACTTTCTCTGTTGCTCTGAGCTGCTCTGGGGATCTCCATCCACTCCCACTTTGTCTATCTTGTCCGGCTCTGAGAAAGAATGTGTCCTCTTGGCCGGATGGAATCGTCTACGTCCCCTGATTCGCCCATAGGACGCTTTAAGAACCGGTGCCTCTGGACCCAGGGGCTCGAGGTCTCGTCTCTGGAAGGAGGTGGCCTGAAGGACTCTTGCCTGGGCCTCTTTTAAATGGTCCTTGTAGGTATTTGAGGAAGCAGACGCTTCCATGGACTTCCACTCTTCTGCATCATCTTCCTCAACCTCGTACATCAGGGCTGCAGCGCTTCGGCTCTTCTGCAGCTGGGCTCTCTTCTGCTGGATCTCCTTACGAAGGGTGGTGGCATAGCGGTCACTGCGACGACTTGCTTTCCCACTGCTGTTGGTTTCACAGACATCCTGGGTGGAAATCAGTGATGTTGTAGCAGCTGCTGCCTCCCTCTCTGCCAACGTCTGACTCTCTTGAGCCAGGAAGTGGAGAAGAGGAGTTTTCAGATTTGATATTCTGTGATCCTCTTGAGGCATCCACGGGTCTTGGTGTCTTGAAAGACCAACCTTATGATCAATACTCTGATGGCGAGTTTTCATCTCATCACTAGCTCTCTTTGAAGGTTCTTCTGTGCTTTGAAGAGAAGTTTCGTAGTACACACCGTTCCCATCGTGGTCTTGATTTTCACAGTGAGGTATCTGGGACTGAGGTGTAGCGTGTTTGGCCTTAGCGTTTGCCTTTAGGGAGCTGTGGAAACCTGACTCTATACTGTTCATCTGTTGGGATTTTTCCGTTTCTCCTCTCCATCCCCCAGCTTTACTCTGTCTGGCCTTTAACTCGCCAGTCTGCATTGGACGATGACCTGAAGGGCCAAGGTGTCGGCTGTGCCCTCCGCTATCCTGTCCCGTCATGGCTGCTGTGGAGTGCCGAGTGTGTTTTCGACTGAAGGCGTTAGAGGGCAGATCTTGGAGGCTCCGATAGTAGCTCCCAACACTTTGAGTCTTAGTTGGTGGAGCCGTCCTGGTCTGAAGGTAGAAGGGGCTTTCATCACTGCATTGCCTGTGGTGGGCAGGGGACTGGACATAATGCGGCTTGCTGACATCACTGCTGGACAGGGAGAAGAGCTTGTTGGGGTGCAGCTGGTTCTGAAATCGGAGGCAGTTCTGGTTGTTTTCTGTCAGCTTTTCAAAAGAACTGTCTGTTGGACCTTCAGAGTATGGAAACACCTTGGCTGCAGCAAAGCTGTCACTGTACAGAGGTAGTGGCGGAGGCGGAGGGGACTGGGGTTTTTTCTTCTCTGGTACCTGCCACATTGGTCCGACACCGGCTCTGCCTGGAGCGGAAACCCGAGATGCCGGCTGCTCCTCGCCCCGTGGGCCCTGCCAGCCTCCGTTCCCGAGAGCTGGCTGCAGGAATCTGTGTCGTTCATTCTGCTGAGGTCCTTCACTCTGAAGACCCTTAAAGAAAATGTTTTCAGTGCTGGTGCCTTTCCTGCCAGACATGCTGGAATGGAGAACAGGAGGACTGGAGCTGCCGGAGAAGCAGCTGAAGGCCGAGTCTCTTTTAGCTCCGGATCCAGAAAAGGCTTCAGAGCCGTCCATGTACTGAGGCGGAGAAAGACAACCCGGCGGGTACGGAGGGGAAGGACGCTCCAGTCTCTCCATGCTGTCCACTGAGCTAAGCTGATTGCTGTGTTGAGTCTTCTCAGTCTTAGTTGACTCTTTGGACCTTTTGATAAAGAAAACTGCTTGAACAACTCTTGAATCATTAATGGAGGAAAGCAGGAAGCCTACATTTCTTACCTGGCTTCATGTTGTGGCTGCCAGAGCGGCGCTGTGGCGGCCCGGGACCCAGCGGGCTCAGACTCCTCTTCTGTCAGCTTGGAGGAGTGCCAGGAATGGGGCCGGACGCCCGGCTCATGTTTCCTGCAGAGCAGAGCCAAAACGACGCAGAGCGGTTGACATCCAAACTAGCTACAGTTTTCATCAGGAAGATAAACGGCAGGAGTCTGCAGAGTTCAACAGGTCAGCTTTCTGCCACTTCCTCACTTCACTGGTTGCTCCAAGCACCACTTATTATTACTACCATAGTTCAGTTTAATTATAGGAAATAATTATGATTACATAAAAAAAAACTTTCAACCAAATTTATCATTTACACCCTAACAGACACAGAGCAAATGAAACTGAAATGATTTTTACTGAACGCACCCCTTGAAGCGGTTCTTCCTGGAGAGCATGGAGAGGAAAAGGAGCGCACACTTTCATTTGGTTATTTAGTCATGTAATTTTGAATAAAAATGAAACGTAAAGAAAGAGGAAACGGAAAGACAGACTCTACACGATGTGGCTAGACATGGAAACATCTATTATGCCTTAATAATATCATTAAAGATACCATGAAATAGATTTACAGTCCTAAGAAACGCAAAATCACATCACAACCACAATACAACCAATAAACATGTCATAAACATGTAATAAACATGTTATAAATATGTAGTTCTCACAGTGATCACCACTACAGCCAGTCGTTCACATGAACACCAAGCAGACTGGAGCGACTACAGGAAACACCTTCTATACCTCATGGAGCTGCGCAAGATCTTGGAGAGGAAATTTCTGGCCACATGAACCTCGTTTTCTGACGGCATTGTTCGCCGTGACACGACGTCCACCATTTCAGCCTGAAGGCAGAAACGTGGCGATCAATGGGAATGAAGCAGAATCCAGTTTGAAATCAGGAACATGAACTGGATTCACTCCAGTTGAGGCTTTCAGCACAAACAAATCAACTCCTTATCATTTAAACCTAAACTCCTGAGCTAAATACATCAATGATCAGTGAATCATTGTTTTAACCAAAGGAAGCTACTGGATGGTTTCCATGACGACCCGGGCACTCTCCTTTAGGAGTGTTAAATAATCTGTAAACCAGATTATTTCACTTGGCTTTGACATCAATAAAATGATTTTAAATTGAATCCGACTGGCACCAGATAAAGATGTGGAAGTTTCTGAAATGATTCCTTGACCTGTTAGTACTTTGACACAATGAGAGACATAGTGGAGGGCTTTCAAAATAAGAGGGGCGTGGCAGTCATTCACTTAGTTTTTGGTGAAATTGTCTGGTTTTTTAAAAGTTTATCATGGCCTGAGCCGAAACACCTGAGCCAGGTGAAGGTTTACCTGCCCTGGTTTCAACTTTAACTCCGCCAGGCTGCATTCTTCCAACAAAGGAATGCAGCCAGGCGTTTCCCAACTAAACTGAGACATCTGTACTGGCCATCTTCCAGTAGCCTGGGGCCTTTCCAGTCACTGCAGTGTGACACAAGATGTAAAGGCAGCTCTGGCTAAAATATCCAACAGATTGAAAACGGTGCAATGCATCTCTCCTGAGTTCTTATTCATAAAACTTAAATCCCTTCTGCTCCTCTGTGAAGCATAAAGTGAGAGCCGCATCATCCCAGGCCTCCACAAGGAAACCAAACGTGTTTCTGTGAGGAGCAGCGGCTCTGTTAGACCCAGCTCTGCTGGACCCGTCTCTATTGGACCCAGCTCTGCTGGACCCGTCTCTATGGCTCTATTGGACCCAGCTCTGCTGGACCCGGCTCTATTAGACCCAGCTCTGCTGGACCCGGCTCTATTGGACCCATTTCTGTTGGACCCGGCTGTATTGGACCCAGCTCTGCTGGATCCGGCTCATGAAAAGGCAGCAGTTTCCACTGAATTGTGTTTGTCTTCACAATAAAACACTTTCATCTTTCTGAGGCCGATAAAAACTGGAGAAATTAATAAATCCGACTGAGCAGAGAGCAGCTGAAATGCTGCCTTCTGATCAGACCTTCTGATCGTGTCTTCTTAGATGCCGCTATCACTTTGGAGGAAGTTTGGGCTGAAATTAAATCTTTGCCAATCAGAAA